ATTTCAGACATTACTTTGTTTTTTTAACACTTTCTATTTTCATTAGTTTTCAAAGATATATGCAATGACAATATCAAGCAAATATTTATTAAGCTCTCTACCTTTCTTTTATTTCATCCGCTTAGTTAACACATAGCCAGGCATTATTAATTCAGTGCTATGTTAAAAATTACATCCTCAAGCCCTGGCCGGTTTGGCTCTGCGGTTAGAGCATCGGCCTGTGGTCCGGAGAGACCCGGGTTCGGTTCCCGCTAAGGGCATGTACTTCGGTTGCAGTTTGTCCCCGGCCCTGGTTGGTCGTGCGGGTGGCAGCCACTCGATGTGTCCCTTCACATCGATGTTTCTGTCTCTCTCTCCCTTCCTCTCTCTCCCTCCCACTCTATCTGTACAAAAAAAAAAAAAATTACATCCTCAAATATACAGGGCAAAACTAGGTGCACAGTTTATTGTATGATATATAATACAAAAATTAATAATCATACAAGACTACATACACTCTGTATTTCCTGTACTCACAACTGTTTGCCCATCCCTGTATGTTTGAAATGTGATAACATGCCAAGGAAGCTAAACAATTATCATGTTGATCATAATTTTAATTTCTACAATATGCTGGAGATACCTGTAATGTTAAGAAAAAGTTTTTTTTTTTTTAATTAAAGTAAAAATATCCTACAGTGTTTGTCAATCCTTGTGTTTCATGAATGTTTACCTTCTATTTTATTTTAACCATGCACATTGAAATGTGTTTTATATTACATTTCTCCTTTGAGAAAATTTGTGTTGAATTATGCAAGGATTGAATCATACGAGGTCTTCAGGAATGCCACCTTCCTCAAGTATCTAAATTCAAGCTCTAAAATATGAAGAGCTGCATGTTTGTTCAGATCCTTAGAATGTTTTGAAACACATTCCTCAGTGACCAAAACTCTTTCTCTGGAAAATGGAGAAATTGAATAGCAAATGGCAGAAGCTGACCTCTCTCTTCAGGTTTGACTTTGACATTTTGTTTCTGAGAGACCTGGTTGTTGGAAGATAAATTCCCTAGTGTTTAACATTTTCTAGCCTTTCAGCAAAGTATTTTTTGTAGAGGAAAGAATGAACCTATAACACTGATGTGGTTAAATTTAGATAGGCTCTCAGCTCCCCTTCTCTGATCCAGTTCCCTAAGAAAATTAATCACATATGTTAATGTACCTCACTACTGGATTTACTACAGATTGCTAATATGTGAACTAAGGAATCAGCCTTGTATAATTTACCTTGCTGTAAGAAGCATACTAAAGAGACTCAAGTGCCAGGATCGCAGTCATGCTTTCAGATCTTCATTCACAGGAAATCTGGACTGGGAAGATTTCTCTGTGGGATGGTATTCTCTAGGAAAATTATATTTATTGATTTGTTTAAAAATCAACATTTTTGTGTTTGTTTGTTTATCTTGAAAACTAGATGGGGCATGACTGTTTTTGATCTGCATGTCTTAAAATGTTATATAAATAATATCATCCACGTTTACTTTGTAATTTGTTTCTTTTACATATTCTAGATACAAATCCATTATCAGATAAATGACTTGCAAAATTTTCCCCATTTCTTTGGGTTGTCTTTTTACTTTCTTGATGGTGTCCTTTGAAGGACAAAGGTTTTTAAATCCGATGAAGTCTAATTGATGTATTTTTCTCCTTGTTGCCTATGATTTTGGTGGGGTTTTTTGGTAAGAATTTTTAACAAATTTGAAGTCATGAAGATTAATCTCTGTGTTTTCATTTAAGAGTTTTATAGTTATTGCTATTACATACAAGACTTTTATCTATTTTGAGTTATTTTTTGTGTATGATTTAAGGGTCCAACTTCATTCTTTTTATGTAGCTGTCTGGTTTTCCCAGTAGCATGTGTTCAAATCAGACTCTGTCAATTACTATTGCTTTGTAGTAAGTTTTGAAATCTGTAAATGTGAGTCCTCCTACTATATATATATTTTTTTCAGGATCATTTTGGCTGTTCTGAGTGTCTTACAATTCCATATGAATTTTGTCAGTTTGTACCAAAAAGTCAGCTGGGATCTGATAGCGATTGCATTGAATCTTAGATGAATTGGGGCATATTTCTGTCTTAAACAATTTCTTTCAAAATAATTGTGTACCTTTCATAGCATAAGGTTTGCACTTCTTTTGTTTACTTTATTCCTAAATACTTCATTCTTTTTTGAAGCTACTGTGAATGGAATTGTTTTCTTAATTTCATTTTTGAATTGCTTATTGTTAGTGTATAGAAACATAAGTGATTTTTGCATGTTAATTTTGTATCCTGCTGCTTTGCAGAATTCATTTATTAATTCTGAAAGGGTGTGTGTGTGTGTGTGTGTGTGTGTGTGTGTGTGTAACCTCTAGTGCTTTGTTTACATATTAGATATGTCCTCTGTAACTGGAGATAGTTTTATTTCTTTCTTTCTATCTGAGTGCTTTTTATTTCTTTTTCTTGCCTGATTGCTCTAAAACTTCCAGTTCTATGTTGAATAGAAACGGTAAACGTGGGCATCTTTGTGTTATTCATGATCTTTGAGAAAAAGCTTTCAGTCTTTCATCATTGAGTATGATGTTAGCTATGGGTTCTCATATATGGCCTTTATTATGGCAAGTTGCCTTTCTTCTATTCCTAGTTTATGGGTTTTAGTTTTTTATCATGAAAGGATGTTGAGTTTTTTCAAGTGTTTTTTCCTGAATTGGTTGTATAATTATGTGGTCATTTTTCCTTTATCCTGTTAATGTGATGTACATCAATTTTTATGTGTTGAACCATTCTGGCATCTCAGGAATACATCCCACTTGGTTATAATGTATAGTTCTTTTAAGGTAATGCCAAATTTGGTTTGCCAGTATTTTGTTGAGGATCATTATGTCTACGTTCATAAGAAATATTGGTCTATAATTTTCTTGTGATGTCTTTGGTTTTAGTTTCAGGGTAATATTGGCCTCATAGACTAATTTGGGAAGTTTTCTCCTCTTCAATTTTCTGGAAGAGTTTGTGAAGTAGTGTTATTAATTCTTTGAGTATTTGACAGAATTCAGCAGTGAAGTTATCTGCACCTGGACTTCTGTTTGTAAGTTAACTTTGATTACTGATTCAATTCCTTCACTTGTAATAGGTCTATTCATATTATCTACTTCTTTTTGAGTCTGTTTGAGTAGTTTCTAATATTTAGCAGTTGTAGTGGGTGTATAGTGAGATTTCATTGTGGTTTACATTTCCATTTCTATGACTAATTATTTTGAGCATCTTTAGATATGTCTATTGGCTGTTTTATATCTTTTGCAATATGTCTGTTAAAATTTTTGCCCTTTTTTCAAATGAGTAATTTAGCTTATTAAGTTGTAAGATTTCCTATATATTCCGGATAAGAAGTTTTCTCAGAACTGTGTTCTATGGTTTCAGTGTTTACTCTTAGGTTTGTGCTCTATTTAGTATTAATTTTGTGTATAGTGTGCAGTATGTGTTGAAGTTCATAGTCTTAAAGATATTCACTTTTATTAAAAATCTATTCTCTCTCCATTTAATTAACTGGACAATTTGGTCACAACCCAATTGCCTATATAAATGTAAGTCTTTTTCTGAGATGACTAGGTTTTTGGAAGTATGTTATTTGATGCATAAATATTTATTATGTATCTTCCTGCTGTCTTGACCATTTTTTTCAATAGGAAATGTTCCTCTCTGGGTCTAGTAATTCTCCTTTAAAAGTTTATTTTGTCTGGTATTAATATAGTCTCTCTAGATTTTGTATGTTTACTGTCTATGTGGTATATCTTTCACAACCTTTTAATTATTTTTACTTTTATTTGTGCTTTATATTTAAAGTGCATTTCTATAGGGAATGTACAGTTAGGTCTTGCTATCTTTCAGCCAGACAATCTCTGCATTTTTATTGGAGTATTTAGTACATTTATACTTAATGTAAATAGTTTTGTATTTGGAATTATTGTCTACTATTTGGCTTGTTTTCTTTGTCTCATTTTTGTTTTCTTATTCTCTTTTGCCTCTCTTTGTGTTAAACAATACTTTAGTGGATTATTTTTATCCTCTGTTAGCTTATTAGTTTTCTTTGCATTACTTTTATTGACTGCGCTAAGGACCATAATGCAACTTTAATTTTAAATAAAATATAGGAACCTTGCAATGGCATTGTTCCATTTACCGACTCTCATCCTTTGTGCTATTGCTATCATATGCATTACTTCTCTGTATCTATATCTATTATAAACCCAAAACTATTGTGTTCTAATTTTATTAAATATTTCTGTTTTTTTAAAGAAATTAAGGTAATATGTATATATTTTACTTTCTGTATATCCAAGTTATCACTTGGTATTATTTTATTTTAGCCTGAAGTATTTCTTTAGGATTTCTTGAATGCAGACCTCTTAGCAATGAATTCTCTCATTCTTAACTTATTTGAAATTTTTTTTGAATCTTTATTTTTAAAGAATAATTTTAAAATAGCCTTTTATTGGAAGACAGATTTTTTTCCTCGACAATTTAAATATCATTCCAGTATCTTGTAGCCTCTATCATCCTAATGAGAAATTAGCTGTTAATCATGTTTTTGTTCTCCTTTATGTAATGTATTGTTTTTCTTTGTTGTAGGGAAGATTTTTCTCATTATATTTTGCTTATAGTAGGGTTTGATTATAATGTGCTAGGTACAATTTTTTTTTTATTTATTCTATTTGGTGTTGTTACTGAAAATCTTGTAGTTGAGAATACTCCTTTTCTGCTCCTATTTGACTCCAGTTTCTCTTATGAGTTATGAAAGGTGTTTTTGACAAATTAGTTTTAAGTCTTGTTAAAATGCTTGGAAATTAAATGGGAAAGTACCAATAAAATGCTACAATTTTCAAAGGAAATTTATTTCCTTAAATATATAAACAATGCAGTACATTTACAGTGGAAAATGTTAATGTTACCTGTCCTCTTTTCTTATTTTCAAAAAATTTGTTTTATAGGTGCATTTCCTCCCTCTGCAGTTTATGCACGAAAAGACTTGCTACAACGATCGTCCCATATTGCTACCAAGACTTTCCAAGCTTTTCGCATATTTGTGAACAATGAGCTCAATGAGCTTTACATAGGACTGAAGACAGCGCAGAAGTTTCTGAGACCTGGTGGTCGTCTTGTCGCCCTCTCCTTCCATTCACTAGAGGATCGCATTGTCAAACGATTCTTGCTTGGTATAAGCATGACAGAAAGATTTAACCTCAGCGTGAGACAGAAGGTGACACAAGCATCTCAGCTGGGTTCAGGTCATGGAAACAAGGAAGGAGTCTCTATAGGAAGGGCCCCTTTAATGTGGGAATTGATACATAAGAAAGTACTTACCCCAGAAGATAAGGATGTGCAGGATAACCCCAGAGGGCGCTCAGCCAAGCTTAGAGCAGCGATCAAATTATGAGAAAGTCATAATCATCTGATCATTCAAGTTTTTCCTCACAGTTTCTCACCTGAACAGTGTAACACAAGAAATTATGGGATATATATGTATGTAGTTCATATGTGTGGAGACTGAGGATATTTAGCATTTTTTTCCTCACAAAGAAAATGTAGAAAATATTAATATGACAGAAAGTTCAACGCAAGGAGAAGCAGCATCTCAAAACTGGGTTGATGGGTTTATCTTAGTATTATACAGGGAAAATTCATCTTATCAGTTATGATTACAAATTCTAAACTGGTGATTCCAAATGAATAAAACATCAACTTAACCATGAGGACAAAAGATAAGAAAATACTTGCGTTTACATTGGAGTTACTTTATCTATCTCTGTAATATTTAACTTTAGTTTCAAAACTTGTATACTGCATTTATTTTATAGGCTTTATTAAAATCTGAACAGTTCTTCAGTGAAAACAGAATTAGAAAATATTCTAGGGAACATTGTGCTCAAATTAGAAACAAATGAATGCACCTACATTAATCCCCTGAATCTTTCTTGAAGAATTTTGTTAAGTTTTTCTTTGCATGAAGTCATACGAATGAGAGAGATTCCCAAGGGTAAGTTCCCATTCTAGTATCTGATTAACAAATAAAAGATCACACTCATATTCAACAATGTTGCATGTATTTTATCAATTATTTTTAGACCCGTATTTTTTTTTTTTTATGTTAATGAAACTGTCTGCACTGTGTTGGATAGTGTCCTTCCAAAATTCATGTTCTTCATAGAACTTCAGAATGTAACCTTTTTTGGAAATATGGTCATTACAGATGTAAGTAGTTAGGATGATGTGATACTGGAGCATGGCAGCCCTTAATCGAATATGTCTGATGTCCTTGTAAGAAGAAGAGGAGAGGGACAGAAACACGGGGAAGAACACCACATGAAGATGGAAGCAGAGACTGGAGTGATACATCTCCAAGCCAAGGGAAGCCAAAGGTTGCTGGCAGCCATTAGAGGCCAGGAGAGCAGCATGAAATAGATTCTCCATCATAGTCTTCAGGACACCTTGATTTCAGACTTCCAGCTCCAGAACAGTGAGAGAATAAATTTCTGCTATTGTAAGCTACTCAATTTGTGGTAATTTGTTACAGCAGCCCTAGGAAACTAAAACACTGAAAGAAAAAAATCTTTTGTGTTGTTAATCCTCACCTGAGGATATATTTTCATTGATTTTTAGATAGAGTGGGGGGGGGGACAGAGAGAGAGATTTAGAGAGAGACATGATGTGAGAGAGGCACATCAACTGGTTGCCCCCTGCACAACCTGACTGGGGCCAGGGGTCAAAGCTGCAACCCAGGTATGTGCCCTGCCCTTGAGTGGACATTGAACCTGAAACCCTTCAGTCTTCAAGCTATTGTTCTAACCACTGAGCCAAACTGGCCAGGGCATGAGAGAAAAAATCTTGAATAAATTGTGTGACAAAAATGCTTCCTAAGTAAACACAAAATTGCTTTAGAAATGTAGTGTGAAAATATATTAGCTACTTTTTGTAATTAGGCTGTTTACCATAATTATTCTTGCTTGCTTTTTGTCTCTTATTGTAGGATGCATAATAAATTACACGAACGAGGTTTTGTTTGGGGTGGGGATAAAGAAGCAAACTCAATTGCACAGCAGTCAATCGTTTTTACCTACCCCCCCCCCCCTTCCTTTGGCAACTATCAGCTTGTTCTCTGTACCTATGGGTCCGTTTCTGTTTTTTAGATTTCACATATAAATAAAATTATACAGAGTTTGTTGGTCTTTTTTTTTACTTATTTCATTTAGCAGAATACCCTCTAGGTCTATCCACTTTGTCCCAAATAGCAAGATTTTATTCCTTTTTTTTTTTTTTTCTGTTTAATATTCCATTGTATATATGTACCACCTTTCCTTTTTTTTTCAGTAATTCAATAATTTATTCTTCTGAAAAAGTGTGTAAAAGTATATAGCGCTCATTCACAAGGTATATATGAGTGACATTTAAAATGGAGGCCTTTTAGTATGGTATTTTTTGGTCAAAGTCTTTATTTTCTGTACCTGCACTATACTGCAGGGTTTTTTTTTTAATGAACGTCACATATTTTTGTATTGTTTCAAATTGTTTGCTATATATAAAAGAAGCTCACTGCAAAATTCTTGAAGGAAAAAAGGAAACAGAAGAAATTCAGAACTTCCCAGAAATGTACAGCTTTTACATTTTTAAAAGGACACCCCATCCCGCTCTCTCTCCAGTTCTCTTGTTAGTTCCAACCATGTAAGAGTTATGATTTCGGCAGAATTTCCAAAGTACCGCCTTTAATTTATCCATTCACTTACGGATGGACACCTAAGTTGCTTCTACATCTTTGCTATTTTAAATCATGTTGCAGTGACTTAAGGGTGCATACATCTTTTCTAATTAATATTTTTGTTAATTGCCCAGAAATAGTATTGCTGGGTCATGTAGCCGCTCTATTTTTAGTTTTTTGAGGAATCTCCCTACTGTTTTCCATAGTGGCTGCACCAATTTACAGTCCCACCAACAGTGCATGCGGGTTCCATTTTCTTCACAGCACTTGTTATTTGTTGATGTTTTTTATGCTAACCTTTCTGATGTGAGTGAGGTGATATCTCATTGTAGTTTTAATTTGCATTTCCCTGATGATAAGTGATGTTGAGTATCTTTTCTCATGCCTTTTGTCCATCTGTACATCTTCTTTGGAGAAATGTCAACTCAGGTCCTCTGCCCATTTTTTAACATGAATGAGTTTTAAATGGTTAACTCTGGAGAATGTTTTTGGGAAATTCAAACAATACATAGGGAAAATGAAAACTGATTATTAGTATGAATGTGCATTGATTTCTAATGAAATATAAAGAATATAAAACAAGCAATTGTTTTACCTTTCTGTATCTCTGTATCAATGCCTTCTACCAGTCATTTAGTGTGGCATCAGCATCATTGCATAGCACATCAGCTCTTAACAGGTTTAGTTCATTGCTTGTTAAGAAATAAAATTTAATAACTGCACACAATTTTTAGTTGATACCTTTATTTTATATATTCATTTTGTTTTAAAAATTGTATATGTTAACTAGATAATCTCTTTGAAGTTTCTAGGGTTTTCTTTTTTGAGATACTAATCACATCTACATATATTTTCTATTTCATGTAATATATATGATGTGTGCTTACATTAATTTATGTTGAACTATATATGTTACAACCAATAGTTTATAAGAGACTACAGTATGCCTCATTAGGTGTTTGAAGTTAACTGCTCTCTCTTAAAATTTACTTATTTCAAACATTATTTGAAAATCATATTTTTTAGTCTTTGCAGAGTAAAGGTTTATAAAATTCCTTTTTCTATTTGTTTTAATAAGAAACAGAGATAAGGATGAATCTGTACTACAGACTTTTAAAAGGTAATTTTAATTTCATTTGAAATCATCCAGAAATTATGAGACAGTTCTTAATGTTAAATTCAAAATATACAAAATTTGTATCAACGCTTTCTTTTTTTTGGTACGTGCCTCTAGCGGGAACCAAACCCGGGACTCTCTGGTCTGCAGGCCGACGCTCCAACCGCTGAGCCAAACCAGCCAGGGCTGTATCAACATTTTCAATTAATAAAACGTATGTATTTATATATTCATTCAATAAGCATATATTAAAGCTGACTCTTTAGGAGAAATAAGAAACCATTATCTCTCCTTTTTATACTCCTCACTTTTGCTTTCTCTGTTCGCATTGGTATGTGAATTTCTTATGCCAACTGAAGTGACCTTCATTTATGTCTCAGATTAACTCTGGACAAAGAAATATTAGGTAATATTATGGCGTGTACTCTTGAGAACTAAGTCCTACATGTTAGAATCTTTGTAATAGATAAGGATAACTAAAACATTGCTTCTGGTTAACATTCTATAATATTTATTTTAATGTAACTATTTTTCTATTGAATTGTGATTGCTGCAGTATTCTAATAGATATTTTTGTGTAAGCAACATTCTCTAGTAGAAATGCATAAGCATTAAAATGTAAAAGGAATTTGTAAGGTGCTAGATAACTATAAATTTAGTGATACAAATCCTGATCAGAGATATATTTTTCTCAGAACCACAGTGCCATATGTTCCATGTTGAATGAAGCATGGTCTGTAAAAATCAGCCTCGTATTCTAAAGAGGCTGGATTGTATAATGAGCATAACTATTTTTACATTATTTTCTCAAATTTCATCTGTTTAGTGCTACTATTTCCAACTAATGTTTCTAACACACAACATGATCTGCAGGAATACTAGGAGAAAGTTTAAATATAAATTATTTTTTAAGTCTGATTACAAAAACATTTAAAGTTCAATAGAATTAATTATGCAAGATGCAATGATGATAGTTCATTATTACTGTCATTGAGGTTAAAATTCTTCACAGACTTTTTGACCACTTCCTTCTTTTCTCACATAATCTATCATAATTGTTAGACAGCAAAGTAAAGAAATTAAATTTAGTGTTCTGATATGCAAAGTAGAAAGTTGTCTTTTTGATAATGTCACATCTCCTTAGGCAATTGTTTATCTTAAATACTGAAAAAAACTTTCTACCATTAGCCTATACTCAATCACTGCCCAGACACTAGAATACAAAACTGAAATCAAACTAGAGGACACACTACATTTCTGATTCTTGAATAATAGCTCTGTCCATTGAACTCTATCTTTATACTTTGGCCAACAATTCTTGTCCACCTTGCACAGGATGAGGATTTGTACTGCTAAACAAATCCCATGTGAGTCCTTATTCCATCACAGGCAACGTGTGATCATTCAACTGTTACAGCTGGTGAACTGAGAAGAAGGTTGTATAGGAATGTAAATAACACCACTGGTTTGGAATTGGGGAAAAAAAAAACAAGTTTGGATTCCAGGTCTGCATGTATTAGCTGAATATATGAACTTGGACATGCTCTTTAATCTCCTGAGTTTTTATTTATTTCACTTTAAAATGAGGATAGTATTGGTACTTATCTCATCTGGTTGCTATATAATCAAATTAAAAAGGACTTGATAAATATTTAACTGAACGTTATAATATGCCAAAATGTAGCCCACATTTCTGGACACTGTGACTAGTCAGGGACATGTATGCTTTATTGCTGGCACATTGAAGTGCAGCCTCTGCAGCACTAAGGCAATCGATTGGGTTATAGTCAGTTTTATTATTTGGGAATTTTATTCCTATTTATTACTTACTTAACACCCCCCGGTGTTTGTTGTACCTGGACAGGGCATAGAAAACAATCACTGCCCTTGTGGAGTTTTCATTTACAAGAAAACCACATGGGGAAAAGAGCCAGCTGCTGAAGGCATTTGACACTTACTAAGATTGGAAACGTGTTCTCGTACACTTCCACGTTAGGAAGCGGCCACCTACGTCATCCTTACAGCAAGATTCTCCAAAATACATCTTGAAATGGAAAAGGAGATGAGGACTCGGTGAGATATGAGAGGGAAGATTTCTATAGGAGTTTAAAAAAGTTTTATACATCTGCACTCTAAAACCAATGAGAAGAGACTGAAGGACCGATAAAATGTTCATATTGCAGGTGTTAGGGAGCCAGTAACTGGTGAAAGGTGTGTAGACTGT